TCTATCGAGATGATCATATGGTTCTTATTTTTAAGTCTATTGATGTGGTGAATAACATTTATTGATTTCCGTATATTGAACCAGCCTTGCATCCCAGGGATGAATCCTACTTGATCATGGTGTACAATTTTTTTGATATGTTTTTGTATCCGATTCGCCAGAATTTTGTTGAGGATTTTTGCATCTAGGTTCATTATGGATATTGGTCTGTAGTTTTCTTTCTTTGAAGTGTCTTTGTCTGGTTTAGGAATCAGGGTGATGTTGGCCTCATAGAATGAATTTGGAAGTTCTCCCTCTTTTTCTATTTCCTGAAGTAGCTTGAAAAGTATTGGTATTAGTTCTTCTTTAAAGGTTTTGTAAAATTCTGCTGTATACCCATCCGGACCTGGGCTTTTCTTAGTTGGTAGTCTTTTTATGGTTTCTTGTATTTCCTCAATTGATATTGGTCTGTTTAGGTTTTCTATATCATCCTGACTCAATCTCGGCAGATCATATGACTTAAGAAATTTATCTATGCCTTCACTATCTTCTAATTTATTGGAGTATAAGGATTCAAAATAGTTTTTGATTATCTTCTGTATTTCTGAAGTGTCTGTTGTGATATTGCCTTTTTCATCCCGTATGCTAGTAATTTGAGTTCTCTCTCTTCTTCTCTTCGCTAGCATGGCTAAGGGTCTGTCGATTTTGTTTATTTTTTCAAAGAACCAACTTTTAGTTTTGTCAATTTTTTCAATTGTTTCTTTTGTTTCGATTTCATTAATTTCAGCTCTGATTTTAATTATTTCTTGCCTTCTACTTCTTTTGCTGTTGTTTTGCTCTTCTTTTTCAAGGATTTTGAGATGAAGTATGAGATCATTTATTTGTTGGTTTTTTTCTTTTTTTTAAGGAATGAACTCCAAGCAATGAATTTTCCTCTTAGAACTGCTTTCAATGTGTCCCATAGATTCCGATATGTTGTGTCTGTGTTTTCATTTATCTCTAAGAGTTTTTTAATTTCCTCCTTGATGTCTTCTATAACCCATTGATCATTCAGTAACCTATTGTTCATTCTCCAAGTGATGTATGCTTTTTCCTTCCTTCTTTTATCGTTGATTTTCAGTTTCATTCCATTATGATCAGATAAGATGCATGGTATTATCTCTACTCCTTTATATTGCCTAAGAGTTGCCCTGTGACATAATATATGATCTATTTTTGAGAAGGATCCATGTGCTGCTGAGAAAAAAGTGTAACTGCTTGATGTTGGGTGGTATACTCTATATATGTCAATTAGGTCTAGGTTATTAATTGTGTTATTGAGTTCTATAGTTTCCTTATTCAACTTTTGTTTGGAAGATCTGTCCAGTGGTGAGAGAGGTGTGTTGAAGTCTCCCATGATAATGGTATGGTGGTCTATTAGACTCTTGAACTTGAGAAGAGTTTGTTTGACGAACATAGCTGCACCATTGTTTGGGGCATAAATATTTATGATTGTTATGTCTTGTTGGTGTATGGTTCCCTTAAGCAGTATGTAGTGTCCCTCTTTATCCCTTTTGATTAACTTTGGCTTGAAATCTATTTTATTTGATATGAGTATGGACACTCCTGCTTGTTTCCAAAGTCCATATGAGTGATATGATTTTTCCCAACCTTTCACCTTCAGCCTATGTATGTCTTTTCCTATCAAATGCGTCTCCTGTAGGCAGCATATTGTTGGGTCTTGTTTTGTGATCCATTCTACTAGCCTGTGTCTCTTAATTGGTGAGTTTAAGCCATTAACATTTAGGGTTATTATTGAGATATGGGTTGTTCTTCCAGCCATATTTGTTTATTTCTGTTACTAAACATGGTTTGTTTTCCTCTTTGATTATTTTCCCCCCCTTTACTGTCCTACCTCCCACTGTTGGTTTTCATTGTTATTTTCCATTTCCTCTTCCTGTAATGTTTTGGCGAGGATGTTTTGAAGAGATGGTTTTCTAGCTGCGAATTCTTTAAACTTTTGTTTATCGTGGAAGGTTTTAATTTCATCTTCCATCCTGAAACTTAATTTCTCTGGATACACAATTCTTGGTTGGAACCCATTATCTTTCAGTGTTTGAAATATGTTATTCCAGGATCTTCTAGCTTTCAGAGTCTGTGTTGAAAGATCAGCTGTTATCCTGATTGGCTTACCCCTAAATGTAATCTGCTTCCTTTCTCTTGTAGCTTTTAAAATTCTCTCCTTATTCTGTATGTTGGGCATCTTCATTATAATGTGTCTAGGTGTGGATCTCTTATGATTTTGCACATTCGGCGTCCTGTAGGCTTCTAGGATTTGGGATTCTGTCTCATTCTTCAAGTCTGGGAAGTTTTCTCGTATTATTTCATTGAATAGACTACTCATTCCTTTGGTTTGGAGCTCTGTACCTTCCTGTATCCCATTGACTCTTAAGTTTGGTCTCTTAATGTTATCCCATATTTCTTGGATGTTCTGCTCATGGTTTCTTAACAGTCTTGCTGAGCTGTCTATGTTCTTTTCCAGTTGAAATACTTTGTCTTCATTGTCTGATGTTCTATCTTCTAAGTGTTCTTCTCTGCTGGTAGTATTCTCCATTGAGTTTTTAAGTTGCTTTATTGCTTCCTGCATTTCTAGGATTTCTGTTTGTTTGTTTTTTATAACCTCTATCTCCCTGTATAGTTGATCCTTTGCTTCCTGGATTTGTTTGCGTAATTCGTTGTCGAAGTGATCTTTCATTGTCTGATTTTGCTGTTTAATGTCTTCCTTGATACTCCAGATCGTCTGAAGCATGTATATCCTGAATTCTTTATCTGACATTCCATCTGCTGCAGCTGTTACCTCTTCTAAAGTTGCGTTGACCTGCATTGCTTGTGGTCCTTTCTTTCCTTGTCTTTTCATACTGCTTGCGTATCTTTCCTGCAGGTGCGGGCGGCGGCTCTGCTCTCACCTTATTCCAATTGGGGTGTCGTGGCTACCACGCCGGCAGGTCACTGGGCCTGTTCTGGGCGCTGGCGGCGGCTCTGTTCTGCCCCTACTCCAATTGGGGTGACGAGTGTACCACGCCGGCAGGCCACCGGGCCTGATCCGCCGGTCGGTTGCAGGTTTGCCTACCCTGCAGGTGCGGGCGGCGGCTCTACTCTGCCCCTACTCCAAATGGGGTGACGTGTCTGTCGTACCGGCAGGCCACTGGGCCTGTCCCGCTGGTCGGTCGCAGATCTGCCCACCTTTCGGTCACGGGTGGAGGCTCTGCTCTGCCCCTTCTCCAATTGGGTTGTCGTGACTACCCCGCCTGCAGGACGCTGGGCCTGTTCCTGGCACGGGCGGCGACTCTGCTCTGCCCCTACTCCAATTAGGGTGGTGTGTGTACCACGCCGGCAGGCTCCTGGGCCTGATCCGCCGGTCTGTTGCAGGTCTGCCTACCTTGGAGGCGCGGGTGGCGGATCTGCCCTGCCCCTCCTACCACGCCTGTGGACCCCTGGGCCTGATCTGCAGGTTGGTCACAGGTCTGCTCACCCTGCGGGCACGGGTGGCGGTTCCGCTCCGCCCCCACTCCAATTGGGGTCATGTGGCCACCACACCGGCAGGGCCTGATCCGGGCGTGGGAGAAGGATCTGCTCTGCCCCTACTCCAGTTGGGGTGACGTGTGTACCACACTGGCAGGCCACTGGGCCTGACCCGCCAGGCTGTCACAGGTCTGTTTACCTTGCAAGCGTGAACGGCGGCTCTGCCCTGTCCCTCCTACCACGCCCATGTACCACTGGGTCGCGGGTCTGCCCACCTTGCGGGTGCGGGTGGCGGCTCCGCTCTGCCCCCTCTCCCTAGATAGTCTTTTTTATCTAAATAAAGGATAATCATTATCTAGGTAAAGTTTAACATTACATTTCATAACATCTCTAGAATTTAGATACATTCCATAGAGCCCTAGGAATGTTGAACATAGTCTACAAGAATTCATGTCATTATTTCAAAATACATATATGTTTAAATGTTATTTGCAAAATAATTCACAATGTGAACAGTACAACTGAAAAAAATTAAAAGAATCAGAAGTCATACTTACTCTGTATCAAAATATTCAACCTTAAATTTGTTTTAAAATGAAGGATGAATAAAGCAGGATTGCCCCTTATCAACTTTAGAGATCATGGCTCACTATGACTACAGGCAATCTATAAGGTGTTATTAGAGTACTTAGCAAAATAATTTAATTTTATTTATAACTTGTTAAGATATCATGATTTATAACATCCCATCATTATGAAAATACTAGTTCATTTAAACAAGAAGAGACTGGGAGCCAGGCAAAGTGGTGCATGCCTGTAATCTCAGTGGCTCAGGAGGCTGAGGCAGGAGGATGGCAAGTTCAAAGCCAGCTTCAGCAACTTAGTGAGGCCCTAAGCAAATTAGCAAAACTCTGTCTCAAAATAAAAATAATAAAAAGGAATGGGGATGTGGCTCAGTGGTTATGTGCCGCTGGGTTCAATTTCTGGTACGAAAAACAAAACAACAGCAATAACAAAAAACTCAACTAGGAAAAAAAGATTTGATTAAATTCAAATTATTGTAAGACTTATTTTTTTTTTTCTTTTAAGCAATCAGAAATCTAACAAAATCAGCTGAAAACCTTGGAAATTATCCAAGGTTATTTGGATATTTGTTTTTTAAGCCAGTTCTTTGTAAACTTTGCTAAGAGTGGACTATTATTCTAAGAAATACTTGAAGTTCCTCTGGAATTTAAACATTAATCAAGCAAACAAGAAAGTGAACAATATTTTTTTAAAAATTTTCATATCAAATATTCTCATTTGTAACAAAATAGGTGTTCTCTGACCGCTGGTACTATCTAATAGAGTACAAGTTCTCATCTAGTGAACATTACTTTGGAAAAAATAGCAGACATTTTAATCTAATATTCATTTTGTTTTTGTTTTGTTTTGAGTACCAGGAATGAGCCCAGGGGTGCTTAGCCACTAAGCTATATCCCCAGCCCTTTTTACATTTTATTTAGAGACAGGTTCCCCCACTGACCACCCCTTCCCAGCCATAGGGCCTTGCTTGTTGCTGAGGCTATCTTTGAACTCATAATCCTCCTGCTTCAGCCTCACAAGCCATTGGGATTACAGGCATGCACTACTTCATTCAGCTATTTATTGTTTTAAAAATCTTGTAACTGATAGAAGAGATATACATCAAACCTAAAACATCTTCCAAGTTAAAATTCTGACTTAAAAAGTAAAATTATTATCCTGTGTCTTTAGATAATTAATAGTGGAGAAAATAAAATACATTCAAATAATGGAGATCCTGAAGAAAAGAGGTATGATGACATATTAGAAATATAGATATATTGTTATATATATTTTTAGTGAAAATTTGTATAACATTTAATAGTACAAACTAGATTTTCAACATAAAATATGGTGTAAAATCCACTTCACAGCTTTGAGGGACACTTTTGAAGAAGGCAGTAAAAAAAATCTTGCTGATGAGAACTATAAAACTCAGGCAGTTTGTACAGAAAATACAGAAACACAAATGGAAATTACCTGAGGTGTTCTATATGCAACACCATACAAACTCATTTTTTACTCTAGGTTAGCGAAGAGACTAATGTTAGTTCAGAGAATTGTAAATAGGCTTTTAGTCTGTTTTTACTGAAGGCTAATTAACATCAGTTTTATTTTTAATAATCTTGAATTTAGGGCCTGGATATCAACATGAATCTTTAGAAGGAAGTTGTAAAAAGAAACTGAAAAGAGACAAACAGGTTTTAAAAGCAAATGTCTAAAAACTGATAAACATTAAATGTTTCATATCCAATATAAATAATATAATAAATTATGGAAATGTATATAACATTTAGGTTACTGAATGAAGGTACAGACAGACCAATAATTAATTTTTAAGAGTACTGCTAAAGGGCTGTGGAAGAGTGCTTGCCTAGTATGAGTAAAGCACTGGGTTCAATCCTTAGCACAGAATAAAAATAAACAATTAAAATAAAGACATCCTGTTCGTCTACAACTAGGAAGAAACTTTTTAAGGAGTGCTGCTAAAATTTATGGTCAATTTACAACAACAAATATCCCATGATTTATAAACACCCATGATTTATTTATCCTTATAAAATGATATTATTCCAGAAATTAGAAACCATGCATAGATAATTAGCATTTTAGGTCATGTGTTACCAAATAAAATTAAATTCCTTAATTTTAAGAATTCTGTCAATATATTTTTATTTAAAATTATTTATGCTTAATTTTAAACCTTTTAGGTCTCTGTTCAAACTCTATCTAGACATTTTTAATGCTTAGGCTCACTTGTGAAGTTTCAAATCTATTGAACAATATTTTAGATAAACAATGGATATCATACAGAGATAAAGGGATTCCATATTTAGCAAAAGAAGACAAAATTTCTGAGGTATGAAAACCCTAAGATTTCAAATTCTTAATTCAGGGTTTCCTTATAAAAAGAAAACTATTTAAAAAGCTGCATTTTTAAAGAATTCAATCTAAGCAAAGGATAGGAAAATAGCATAGCTCATTTATTACAAAGAAGCAGATAAGCTCTTCCAGTTTTTGTCAGAGTGTTGACATTAGGTCACTAAACATTTTTTGTCAGTCATCAATTCTATTTAGAAAAGCTTTCATTAATGGATTTACAGCAAAACAAAGGATTAAAAAAAAAAAACCTTAGACAAATATCCCAACTGATTAGGAGGCCAGAAAAAAATGATTTATCAGATTTTAAAGACATCTATGTTAGTTAGCTTTTTGTCACTGTGACTTAAATACTTGTCAGTAACAACTTTTATTTTGGTTCACAGTTTCATGGTCAGTCCACTCCATGCTCTGGGCGATGTGAGGCAGAACGTCATAGCAGAAGGGGCCAGCCAGAGGAAAGCTGTTTGGCTCATGGCAGCTAGGAAGCAGAGAAGCAAGGGGATGAGGCTTCAGGGAAGATAAACTCTTCCAGGGCATAATCCCACTGACCACCCCATCCCAGCCACACACCATCTGCCCATAGTTTCCAAGCAGTTGGTCCATTCAAAAGCTCTCAGCTGTGAGCCTCTGTAAAAAGCAAAAGCAAGTTACATATGTCTAATATATAATGTAAGAGTAAACATTCTCAAGCCTGCATCTCCAAATGTTTCTAAATTTATTCTACAAACCAGTTCCAAAGGCTTTTGAATCACATGGTCATGTTACTTACAGCAACAACCCCACTTTTTGGCATGCACTTATGTGTGTGTTAGGTTTTCATTGCTATAACCAAAATACCTGGCTCATAGTATCAGAGGTTCAGTTCATAGTGGACTGACTCCATTGCTCTGGGACCATGATGAGGCAAAACATCATGGTTGAAGAGATTGGTTGAGGAGCACTGCTCTTCTCATGATGGCCAGAATACAGAGAGAGCAAAGGAAGGGGCTTAAGGGAAGATGAACTCTTCCAGGGCATGCCCTCACTAATGCACCCACTCCAGCCATGCCCCACTTTCCCACGGTTACCAGGAAGTTAGTCCATTCAAATTAGGATGGACTGATCAGGTTACAGCTATTATAATCTAAACATTTCTCCTCTGAATATTCCTGCATTAACAGAGGACCTTTTGGAAGACAACTCATATCCAAATCTTAACAAAAGCCTTACTATCAATAAGTTCAAATTAACTTGTCACAGATTTACTAAAGTGTCAATCAAAAGGATTTGGGGTAACTTATAGGTTATAAATTATGTTACTTATCTATAAGCCACTTCAGTATCATGCAAATAAATAATATATAAGCAGGTGCACACAAGAAGATCTCAAAATTTAAAATTTATATTTGCCATTTTAAAAGTCTGACTGTTATCTGATATAGCTTTAAGCAATCTGCAAATCTTAACTTTGCATTTTCAGTTGAGGCCAGATAGAAAATTTACATCTCAAAGACTCAGACCAACAAACTGGAATAACCAATTTCTTACTGGGGTGGAAGGACCCTTAGATAAAATTAAAAAACCTTTAATCAAACAAAACAAAAATTTATAACTTAAGCATGCAGAATTTTAAAAAGTGAACTCATGAGTTCAAATTAAAGTGGATCTTTTTTTGGGTGGGGGGTACCAGGGATTGAATTCTGGGCACTAGACCAATGAGCCACATCCCCAGCTCTACTTTGTATTTAGAGACAGGGTCTCATTGAATTGCTTAGCACCTTGCTTCTGCTGAGGCTGGCTTTGAACTTGTGATCCTCCTGCCTCAGCTTCTCCAGCTGCTGGGATTACAGGCATGTGCCACCATGCCCGGTTTGGATAGATTTTGATAGAGGCTTATCTGGTGAATGATACAAGGAGCTTGGGAAATGTTTTGGGTCAATAAAGTGTACTTGGAAAAAAGCTCCCAAACACCTAGGGGTGAATGGGGCAGTTAAAGGTACAGATGTTCTTGCTGTCTAGGGGTGCTGGGTTCATTGTCTCCATTCAGCAAAGAACAGGACACAGAAGAAGCAAGCAAGAAGTATAGGTTTATAGTAGAGGAGACAGAGATACAGATAGACTTCTCTGAAGAAAAGTGGCCCCAGAACTGGGAATCTGGTGGGGGAGTTTTGGCCAGTTCTTTTTATAGTCTCTCGAATTTCCTCCTTTCCCTGTCTCTTCCCCTGTCCATGCACTCCTCACTATTTCTGATTACTGCCCCCTCTGTCCACATGTCTGTTTTATTTTTTTTTTCTATTGGATCTCCTGCTTAGGAGCATGAGTACAGAAGTATCTGTCTGAATGGATCCCCCACTTGTGTCCAGGAGCACTTTGGTCAAGCAGGAAGTTGACCTCATTGGAAGACTCTCTTCCTGCTCTTTTTTTCTGGCCCTGCCCCCAGTCTTCTCACTCACCATCTTGCTCTGGCTGCCTATGCCCTTCTACACATCCCTTAAGGTGATCAGGACCTTCGTTATATGCACCTTCCAAAAGAGCTGCCCATAATTCCTTCCAACCCAGGAATTGCATATGCTCTTCTGAAATGGAATTCCCTATTTTAGTAGATTAATATGTTGCTGCAGACATCAGTGTTAGCCTGTTAAGCCAATCACCAAGTAACCAATATATAAAATAGTTACATTAACTCAGCATGCATTTTTAGATATATAAGCACTGTTATAATCTTTTTCCAAACCAAAACCCAACCTAAAAGAGCTCTCCAAACAAACCAATAGAATTACTAGGAAATTTTCATCCTTCAAATTTAACCTCATCAACCAATACCCTGCAACCAAATGGCTTATCTAAGCGCCAACACAAAATGACCCACTCAAGGTCCAAAGACTCAAAGAGCGAAAATAAAATTCTCCGTGTGCACTCTGATGAGGACAACCAGTGGGAACCTGGCATTTGCCAAACTAACCTTTTTCCCCCTTACCAACAAATAATTTTTAGTGCTTGAGGCTATAGCAAGAAATGTGGGAGAATGTGAGTTGGGGGGTTGTGGGGGGCATGAATCCCAGGATATAAAAGTGTCTCTAGGTGGCTTCTGGGATTTTCCTTGAAATTCTAACTGTAGGTTTGGCAAGTCTTGAGTGGTCGAGCTCCCTCCTCCTTATGGATCCTTATGGATCACTGCAAGCTTGAGCTATGTTGCTCAAGGGATGATCCTTGCTTGCAGTTCACTGCTCCACAAATGCTTAGAGTCATGCTGGCGAGTAAATAGCCAACGTTGAAGGAAGAGACATTTTCTATCTCAAATCTCCATTTTCAGAAAACTCAAGGGTAAGGAAAGCTTTTATAAGAGGCAAAGTGGGACAAAAGGCAGGAAACATACATCTGCAAATTTAGTTAGCCAGAGAATCTGACATCAGCTGGAGGGAGTTTTTATTTTCTGTATGAGGAAGTTCAGAAGTTATAACAATTTGGAGATTTAATATCAAAGGAGACTGTTTTGAATCTTGGAGACAAATAAGTTAGCAGGAAGTTGCCTTTAATTTCAGAGGAAATCTGTTTTTTTAAACACTTTTGTTTTTATTTATTTATTTTTATGTGGTGCTGAAAATCGAAACCAGTGCCTCATGCATGCTAGCCAAGGGCTCCACCACTGAGCCACAACCCCAGCCCCTCAGAGAAAGTCTGTTTTAAGCCCATGATGGCATTCTTCTTCTGAACGCATAAGGAGATTCAGATTCTGCAGACCTTGGATGAAGCTTGGGTCCTTCTGAGTACATTTTACAAAGGGCTCTTCTGTGATTTTGTATTAATCCCTGGCTAAAAACTAGTGCTTTGCTATCCAAAGAAAGGAAGTCATAGGAAGGAGAACCACAGCTACATGAACCATTTTAAAATCCATGACTATTATGACAAAATGTTAGCATTATGGAATCTGAGCGGTAATATGAGCAGTTATAGTACTCTTTCAACTTTTTTCCATGCTTGAAAATTTTCATGTTTTGGGGGAAAAGTGTAAAGAAAAAAATAGGTTACAAAACATGATTTAAAAATATATAGGTATGCAAAAATCACCATATTTTAGTGATTTCAAGATACCACTAATGTTAAGACATCCGACTAAGAAAGAAATATTGCCAGTAATTAATTATTGCTTGCAAGCTTGGGTTATCTGAGTTCAGACACGTTAAAATATGAAATACTGTGCATCTTGCAGTTGATGAAATATGAAAATATAGGCAAGGCTTTGAAGTTTTAATTACCTAAATGAGTGGTACAGATAACCAAATACATTAGAAATTATTAAAAATTTACGTTATATAGAAGAATCGGAGTAAAATTTTTGAAAAGACAGAATTGCCTCTTGAAAGTTATCTAGATTCTGAATAGAGCAAAATATGGAGGACAGCAGGGCTGTGTGGGTATGGAACATGAGAAAGGATTTGGCATTAATAGTAAGTATTTTTAGAGGCAGTAGCTCACACAGGAGTAGAGATAATTGTGTTGAAGGACTGTGAATACAAGCTTGGATGGATATACTGGCAAACCCAGATTGGGCAATGATTTTTTTAGAGTTTTGTTTTTTTCAGGCTAATTATTCAAGATTTTTCTGTCATTCACTGAGAATGTGAATTCAGTGTTATTGTAAGACTTGAGTCTAGGAATTGCACTGTTGCATTTCTTCCTAGGTGGAAACAGGATAAGTCAGGTACAGTCCACATGACCATAATGTCTCCAGTGCTGATGTAAAAGTTGAGGCAAGAAACTGAGGTGTCAGGGTTAAGATGGATATTGGCAACAAAAAAGATAGTAGGTAGAAGTTTAGTAAAAGATTTTTTTTCTAGGCTAGGGACTTTGCTAAAATGAGGTAAGAGTGTCATATAGCAGGGTATTTCTAAAGAAGGTCCATTCCCTAATTTCAGTGTATCAAGATGATTTATTGTACTTCTTTCTAGAAGTCTGCCAAGTTGGTGAAAAGATTGAGAGCCAGCATCAGGATGACCAAGATCAATGTCTCTTGATGCAAGTTGGATTCCCTGACAAGAAAATAATGACTACCAAGAATGGCCACGAATGTAATGAATTTGGAAACACTCTTCATCTGAGTACAAGCCTTGGTATTCCAATACAAAGACCTCATAAACTTGAAACATTTGGAAATGATATGGTAGATAATGTAGACTTATTTAGAAGTGCTGTGGAAAAGAAACACGATAATGGGTGTGCAAAATTATTCTTCCATACCGAGTTTGAGAAATCAAATCCTGTAGTGAAGCCCTATGGATATAAAGAATGCGGGAAAGTCCTCAGGCGAAAGAAAGGTCTTAGTCTTCATCAGAGAATTAAAAATGGAGAGAAACCATTTGAATGTACTGCATGTCGGAAAACCTTCAGCAAGAAGTCACACCTCATTGTCCACTGGAGGACTCATACAGGGGAGAAACCATTTGCATGCACCGAATGTGGAAAAGCTTTTAGCCAAAAATCTCAGCTAATTATACACCTCAGAACTCATACAGGAGAGAGACCCTTTGAGTGTCCTGAGTGTGGGAAAGCCTTCAGAGAAAAGTCAACTGTCATTATACATTACAGGACTCATACAGGAGAGAAACCTTATGAATGCAATGAATGTGGAAAAGCCTTCACTCAGAAGTCAAACCTTATCGTTCATCAGAAAACCCACACAGGAGAGAAAACCTATGAATGCACTAAATGTGGGGAATCTTTCATCCAGAAGCTTGATCTGATTATACACCACAGCACTCACACAGGGAAAAAACCCCATGAATGCCATGAATGCAAGAAAACGTTCAGTGACAAGTCCACCCTCATTACGCACCAGAGAACTCACACAGGAGAGAAGCCCCATAAATGTACGGAATGTGGGAAGTCTTTCAATGAGAAGTCGACCCTCATTGTACATCAGAGGACACATACAGGAGAGAAGCCCTATGAATGTGACGTGTGTGGAAAAACCTTTACCCAAAAGTCAAATCTGGGTGTGCATCAGAGAACTCACTCTGGAGAGAAACCCTTTGAGTGTAATGAATGTGAGAAAGCCTTCTCCCAGAAGTCCTATCTCATGCTACATCAGAGAGGTCACACAGGGGAGAAGCCCTATGAATGCAATGAATGTGAAAAGGCATTTTCCCAGAAGTCCTATCTTATTATACACCAACGAACTCATACAGAAGAAAAACCCTATAAATGTAATGAGTGTGGCAAAGCCTTTCGAGAAAAGTCAAAGCTCATTATACACCAAAGAATTCATACAGGAGAAAAACCCTATGAATGTCCTGTATGTTGGAAAGCTTTTAGCCAGAAGTCCCAGCTCATAATCCATCAGCGAACACACACAGGAGAGAAACCCTATGCATGCACAGAGTGCGGCAAAGCCTTCAGGGAAAAGTCCACGTTCACTGTCCATCAAAGGACTCACACTGGAGAGAAGCCCTATAAGTGTACAGAGTGTGGGAAAGCCTTTACCCAAAAATCCAACCTTATTGTACATCAGAGAACCCATACAGGAAAAAAGGCCCATGGGAGAGGCCAGACCCGGAAGTCAAAGCTCACGGCACACTAATGAGTAAAGTGAGTGTCTGTTAGGTACCCCAAAGGAAAGTTGTGTCAATTTACTATTTTAAATGTACGTTCTGACTTCTGGTTTAAACACAGGGAGTAAAGTTGGCCTTTCTTCTTTTCGTCTCAGTTTTCACCCAAGAGCAGCAGGAGAAAAAGAAGCAAAAGTGTGAGCTCCATATGTGATAAAATTAGGAGACAACTGCTACCAGAGGCCTCCAGAGGCAGAGGAAACCAAGACCCAGTGCAGGGCCACAGATGAGAGGCAGCATGGGTTAGGACTCTAAGCAGAGGGTCCTGATACACTCCAAGGTACAGCATCACAGGCAGCTGTAACCATGGTAACAGAGTGCATGAGCAGGTAGGAGGCTTCCTAGACTATTTGGCATCTGAGGAGAAACAGGCAGGGGCCTCAACAAGGAGATACTCAGACAAGCCTTATTTACAGAAAGTAGCCTGTACTGATAGGAGGAATAGTTGTGGGCACCTTGGAGAAAAGAAGGGACTTTTCCTTGTGAAGAACCCATAGTATCTCCTGTTTAGTGACTTGGGAAAAGTAAAGTGAAAGAACTAACAAATGTGTGTGTGTGGAGCTCATTTGTTAGAAAAACTGATCTTCCTAGAATATATTCCTGGTATCTTCCCAACATGAACCTCCAGCGAATAGCAAGTCCAGGAAAAACTTTTCATTCAAAGAGAATATTTCACAGAAAATCAAAACCACAAATGTTTTCCAAGACATCAACTCAACTTCAAGATTGTCAAAATGATGAACACACAGAGGTGTTTGTTGATGTACTGTTTGCGAAAATATTGGAAGCTGTCCAAATGAAATCCCCAGATTCTGCTTCCTGAAATTGTGATGTATTTGTACAACAGATTCCTAAGTAGAAAAAAATGATAAAGAAACTTGGATATCATTTATGTTACTGATGTGGAGCAACCTCCAAATTATTAGGGAAGAAAAGCAAGGTACAGCATAGTATGTCACGATGTGTATATAAAGAGGGAAAATGGTAAGTACATAATTGTATATACACAAACCATTTCTGAAAAGAGATACAAGATGCTGATAACCTTGATTCCCTTGGGGAAGGGGCAGTGGGTGCTGAGGGCAGGGAACTGGGAGGGAGATAGCTGTGTATCCTTTCATAGTTTTAGAAAACTGTATTATGTGGATGTACTGCCTTTTCAATGAACAAATAAAATTTTAAAAAGCATAATTTTGTTCTGTTGTAATGAAGTTGGAGTCAAGACATAGCTTATTGACATTTAGTATCAATAAGCTCAATATGGAATTTCTTTTTGTGACATTGCAGGTGAAACCTAGGGCCACAAGCATGATGTGACAAGTACTCTAACTGATCTATGCTCCCAGCCATGAAATTCAGTTTTTTTGAGTGGATAAACAGAATAATCAGACAGAACAATATTAAATTCCTAAAGCACATAAGCATTATTTTCCTGAGGGTGCAAATAATTGATTCTCACGCCAGCTGAGACCATACTACCTAAACCTAAAGTAATTGAGATTGGAAAACATTTCTTCTTTAGTATGCACAGTGACATCTGTGAAAAGATTCTGTGTTGGGCTGGGGATGTGGCTCAAGCAGTAGCGCATTCGCCTGGCATGCGTGCGGCCCGGGTTCGATCCTCAGCACCACATACAAACAAAGATGTTGTGTCCGCCGAGAACTAAAAAATAAATATTAAAATTGTCTCTCTCTCTCTCTCTCTCAAAAAAAAAAAAAAAAGATTCTGTGTTAATGCTCACCACAGTCTTTCCATATCTTGAAATGATTTAAATTGCCCCCCACACATACTTTTTTTTTTATTTTGGGGTACCAGGTATTAAACTCAGGGGCATTCAACCACTGAGCCACATCCCAAGTCCTGTTTTGTATTTTATTTAGCTTAGCGTCTCACTTTTTGCTGAGGCTGGCTTTGAACTTGTGATCCTCCTGCCTCAGCCTCCTGAGCCCCTGGGATTACAGACAAGCACCCCCATGCCTGACACACACACACACACACACACACACTACTTTAACAAGAGGTATAAAAGATCTACAGAGGGCTGGGGCTGTAGCTCAGTGGCAGAGCACTTGCCTAGCATGCGTGAGGCACTGGGTTCAATCCTCAGCACCATATAAAAATAAACAAAGGCATGTTGTCCATCTACAACTACAAAAAATTTTTTTAAAAAAAGATCCACAGAGATGTTGTGTAACTGCTCCTGTGGTCACACTGCTGCTAGTGGCACATATTTCCTGGGGTGAAAGACAGATTGAGTCCCACGGTCTGAATGACCATGACCAAACCCACATCACAGGATATTTGCTCTAGAACAAGAGGTCCTGCTTGTGAATTACAGTAGTTGTGTCCTCATGACAATGTAGTTACTCACAAGGGCCATCTTTGGTGGAAGTGGGCGAGCTAAGGTATGTAAAATCTGGGGATGGGCAAGGTTTGAGTTTGTTAATATAGGTGGGTAAGTTAGACCTGAGACAGTCTATGCCCTCCTGGTCTTCTTTTTCCCATGAAGTATATTGTAAGAAAATAAACCTTGGACTCCCCCACTTTTTTCCCCATTGAACTCTAAGTTAGACATAACCCATTCAGTGCCTTGCAGGGAGAGGAAATATAGGGCTGACTGGCTTGCGCCTGATGAAGTCTGCTAGAAGATTCCCAAAGGCCCTGGAAACAAAGGCATCTTCCTAATGGTGGAGTATCTTCCTGGGGTTTTACTAAAGAGATGGAGGAGAGTTGGATCTCACCATTTCCCATGAATATTGGATTCCTGTTTCCTGGGATACAAATAACTGATGAATCGAGGTAAATGAGACACAGGCCTAGAGGGAAAGGGATGGGGATGGACTGCAGTATGTGAATAAATGGGCTGAAATGAGGGGAAAGAGAGAGAGAAGGATAATAAAGGACCAAGTGTGGTTGAATGGGGTATAATGAGGGGCTTGGTCTTGGTCAATATGAAATAATGGGGCAGGGAGGGGGAAATACCCAGTGGAGGGAGGTACTAGAAAAGGAACAACAAGTGCCAGTGCACATGGGTCATGTTTTGGAGATAAGACTGAGTGGACAGAATGAATGTTGGTGATGCAAACAAAGTGGAATAAGTGGAGTGGTGTGAGGCACTGTGAGAGAGAGGGTGGTGGATATAGTGGAGTGAAAGGCAGTTCAGGCAAGTGACAAAATGTGGTGTGACACTACCTATGTATAGCACTTCTTATGAGTCTCTTCCAACATTGGTTTCATTTTCTTTTCTTTCTTTTGTTTATTTGTACTGGGGGTATTGTGAACACAAAGGTGCTTTACTACTGAGATATACTCCAGCCATTTTTATTTTGAGACAGGGTCTTGCCAAGTTATGAGGGTCTTGCTGAGTTGCTGAAGCTGGCCTCAAATTTATGATCCTCCTGCCTCAGCCTCCTGAGTTGCTGGAATTACAGGTGTGTGCCACCATACCCAGTCCATCTTATTTGTTTTCATTTCCCCTAGTAGATAAATAATAGAGAAAAATCAAAGCTAGTTCTTTGAAGAGATTAATAAAATCCCAAATTCCAGTCAGGAAAAAAAAAAGGAAACAAATTTTCAAATGTACTTGATACAGTGGACTTCACTATAGTATAAACATTTAAAGGGATTCAAGAGGCTGAGAAAGAATGATTGCAAGTTCAAAGCCAGCCTCAGCAAAATTGTGAGGCCCTAAGCAACTGAGTGAGACCCTGTTATAAAATACAAACTTAAAAAGGGATGGGGAGGGTTGGGAATATAGCTCAGTTGATAGAGTGCTTGCCTCGCATGCACAAGGCCTGGGTTCAATCCCCAGCACTACACACACAAACATTCAAAGGGCTGGGGATGTAACTCAGTGGTAAAGCACTCCTAGGTTCAATCCCTAGTACACCCTCCAAAAAAGGGATAATATGGGAATTATGAAAAAAGATTTATGGCAATAAATTTGATAACAGTCAATATAATCATATAGTAAAGGTCCATAAAGAGAAAAGGGATTTCATAAAATTTGAAACCCATTCACAATATAAACATTTTAGCAAACTAGGTACAGAATTAATCTGGTGGTAGTATTTTTTCTGTTTTAAAAATATTTTATGTTTTGCCAGGCATGGGGTGGTGCACACCTCTAATCCCAGCATCTCGGGAGGCTGAGGCTGGAGGATTATGAGTTCAAAACCAGTCTCAGCAAAAAGTGAGGCGCTAAGCAACTCAGTGAGACCCTGTCTCTAAATAAAATACAAAATAGGGCTGGGATGGGGTTCAGTGGTTCAGTGCCCCTGAGTTCAATCCTCAGTACCCCCTAAAAATATTTTTACTGGTGCATTACAATTATACATAATAGTGGGACTCCTTATGCCACCTAAGTAACTTGATATTTTCTTTCCTTCATCCAAAACTCCTCTTTCATTCATAAAGAGTATTTTTTAAAAATGTAGTCATGCCTGGGTGTGGTGGAACATGCCTGTAATCCTAGCTACTTGGAAAGATGAGACAGAGGGATCATAATTTGTGGGCCAGCCTCATCAACTTAGTGAGACCCTGTCTCAAAATAAAAAATAAAAAGGGCTGGGGATATAGCTCACTGGTAGAACACCCTGGGTTCAAACTCCAATGCAAACAATCAGAAAACTATAGTAATACTTAATGGTGGGACTGGGGTTGTGGCTCAGCAGTATAGCACTCGCCTCGCACGCGAGAGACCCTGGGTTCAATCCTCAGCACCACATAAAAATAAATAAACAAAATAAAGATATTGTGTCCATGTATAACTAAAAAAATTTAAAAAACCTTAATGGTGACATGGGAAAATCTTCACTGCTGTGACTATGAAAGAGACAAGCATGCTTGTTAGGCCCACATCTGTTCAACATAATACTGAACATGTGAGGCAGTGTGATAAAGCAAGAAAAAGCAAAAGGAGCAATGGCTGGAAATGAATGAATAACTTTCAATCTCTGTAGATAGGATATACATAGCCAATCCAAAGGATCCATAGATAAATTATTAGAATAATTTATCAAGGTTGTTAAATACAGCTCAAACTATATAAATTGTTTTTCCTCTAACAACAACAATCAGAACAAATACTCTATCCCTTTGACAAGGAAGAACAAAGAGAAGAAAATGATGGGGCCATTTAATGGTGAGCCTTGAAAGAAGTTGAAATTTGGGGAAGGTGGTATCAGATTGTAAAACACAAGGCGAAAATAGTTTGGGGGTTTTCTCAAGATGAAACAAGGATGTAGTAGAAACAGAAGTCACAGATTGAAAAAGCATCCATCTATAAATGTTTGAATGCCTAAGGAGGGGAGTTGATGACAACTGGAGGGAGGGAAAGTTGAAAGGCCTGGGAAGGAGAGGGCATCCTAGAATGCTCATTCCAGCTGAAGGGGGCAGCAATCAGTTCCTGAGGAAAAGGAAGGGAGACAGGGCTGGTTCTCAAAAGTTGGCCATGAAAAGCAGCTGTGGAAAAGTCCTTTAATGGGAGAAATTCTCATCTCATGTAATAACCACCAGAGGCCTACATCCTTAACGGAAGACATGGCAAAAGAGCTGACCTCCCACTCACCAACTGAAATCTTCTACTTCTTCCTCTTAACAGTGCCCACTCACCTAAGTGACTTGAGATTTTCCTCCATGCATCCAAAGCTCCTCTTTCTCACACATGAAGATCAGGTCTGATATGGGATTTTAACAACCTGAAAGAAGATAAGTTTCAAGATTTCAGGTCATCTGCTTAGGGTAGGGGCCTCTGATGCTGAGAAAGGGGCAGCTTCAGGGACTGCACTATAGCTGCCCACTTCCATGTTGGCCAGGTCTGATCATTCTACTGGGGAGGCAACAAAGAGGAATATGCCATCCCTGAGCATTGCTAGTACTTCAGAAACAAGAAGTTCCCAGATAACTTTTCCTTAGCACCCAGGCTAACCTTATGGGTGGGACCATCATGTTGCTGCAGGACAAGTGACACTGGAGGATGACACTGAAGACTTGATTTGACAGGAGTGGTAGCACCTGGACCCTGCTCAGAGGACTGTGTCATGGAGAAGTGCTATGGAGAATCAGCCACCTAATCTCTGGGGAAGGCAGGCCTATATAGGGAATTTGATGAAATTGTGTCTAGATTTTGAAAGCCACCTTCCTCCCTCATCCTTCAATGCCACTGATCCTGCAACAACACATGCTGGCTCCATCTGAAGTGACAGAAGTGGCTCCTTTAATAAGAAAATAATTGTATGTTGAGGTTGCTAAAATCTACAAAAAGAATGAAACTTCTCTCAGAAATTGTGAAGAAGGAAAAAGAAATCTGCTAGTTTTGCTGTTACATCTCAAACTGCAAAAGCTATGGCCACAGTATATGAAAGTACTTAGTTAAAGAGTAAAAGGCATCAAATTAAAATGCCTCAGTACATTCTGTGGTTTCAGGCATCCACTGGGGGGTCTTGGAACTTATCCCCTGCAGAGAAGGAAGGGACTCTTGTACCATAGGCTTGGGACCTAAACAACAAACATTTATTGCTCACAGTTCTGGAGACTTGGAAGTCCAAGAACAGGGCACCAGCAGATCTGAAAGCTATTGATGGCAGATTGGTTGGCAGATGGCATCTTCTTGTGTCTTCACATGACTGAAGGAACCAGTTCTAGTCTTTTTCTTTCCTTATAAAGATATTAATCCCATCATGAGGACTCCACCATTAGGATGTCCCTCTAACACCATCCCATTAGGGGGCAGGGGTTCCATATAAATGGAAGGAGGTGAAGCAAACTTGCAGTTCACAACAATACCCAAGTATTTTTCCTCTATACATTTTGGACTGTTCAAAGTATTTAATAATATTGAAAAATAATTTAAAAAATAAACTAAAAATTTAGGCAAATGCTAACAAAATAATGAGAAATGGTCATAACATTTTCCTCATTATTTATTGGTCCATTATAGTTGTACATATTGATGGGATTTGTTGTTACATATTCATATATGCACACAATATAATAATATAATTTGGCTAGTATCTCTCTCCAGCATTTCTCCCCTTCCTCGCTGTCTCCTATCCCTTGGTCCATTTCCTCTACCAATCTCCCTTTTAGGATATCTATGGCAACATTTGTCTTCCTTTTTCCTCTCTAGCTTCTGCATGAGAGAAAACATGACCCTTGACATTCTGAGTTTGATTTATTGCACTTAACATAATGGTCTCTAGTTCCATCTATCTTCCTGCAAATGCCATAATTTCATTTTTCTTTATGGCTGACTAAAACTCCATTGTGTATATATACAACACGTTCGTGGTCTATTCTTCCACTGATGGACACCTAGGCTGGTTCCATAGTTTGGCTACTGTGTTGCTTGAAGACAAAAACATTAAGCAGCACAAAAAAGGGATATTTTATATTAACAAAAGGTAACATTCATCAAAAGACATGATGGTAATGCATGTTTATGCACCCACTAGCATAGATTTAAAGGTCAGGGGCTGTGGTTGTGGCTCAGTGGTAGAGCACTCACCTAGCACACGTGAGGCCCTGGGTTCGATCCTCAGCACCACATAAAAATAAATAAAATAAAGGTATTGTGTCCAACTACTTCTAAGAAATAAAATACTTAAAGGCCATAAAGCTGTTAAAAATGGTGATGAATCTGCAATTACAGACAGAAATTAACACTCCTCTCAGAGCAAATGAATAAAGTGCAATGACTCACTTGAATAATGCTGCCCACACCCCGCCCGCCGAGGGCAGCTGAACTTAAGGTCACTCGTGTGAATTTCCAAGGACACCAAATAAAACACAGACACACTTTACCTTTAAACAAGCTTCAGGACGGCTCTTCTCTCAGCCTCAAGCTCCCCAAATGTGAGAGCGAGGGATAGTCACAAGAGGCTGGAGGGGGAAGGGAGAGAGAGAACTTCGGAAGTGGGCTTTTATTGGGAGGACACTTGTTCTTAGAAAGTTCATCCAAAAAAGGTAAGAAGGGGCAGAGTTACAAAGGACCTGTAAGACCAAAGGGTGGGGCTGTAGGGTGATGTCTGAAAACTGTCCTCAAAACTTCTGGGACCCGGCCAATGTCCAAGTCACTACGAGATGTAGTGACCATCAAAGCCTCTCTGCTCCAAGACAGAAATCGCAAATCATTCAGAGTAGCTCTCCACAGAATAACACAATTATTAAGTTTGATATATATGTGATATGTGGATGTAAGTGAACATGCACATATTTAAATCCAATAATGCATATACAGAAGAAATATTTACAAACATACATGACTAAATAGAAGGTCATAAAGAAAGTCCCCAATGATCATAGGAACATTTTGTCTAGGCACAATGCAATAAAATTAGAAACACAAAAATTCTGCACTCTTAAATTATTACTGTATTAAAGACAAATATTGAAGTCATGAACATATTAGAAATGAACAACGAGTATACATTAAATATGAAAACAGTAGAATGTAGCAAAAATTTAAAGGAAAATGCACATATTTACTGTATAAATTACAAGTGGAATTTAGAAAGAAACAAACCAAACATTTATTAACATAAAGGTGGTAAAATAAGTCCCAATAAAGTAAAAAGTAGTAATAAATAAAAACATTATCAAGTTGGGCTGGCCACAGTGGCACACACCTGTAATTCCAGTGACTGCGTCAGGAGGATGGCACGTTTGAGGCCAGCCTCAGTAACTTAGTGAAGTTCTAATCAACTTATTAAGACCCTGTTTCAAAATGAAAAATAAAAAGAGCTAGCAGGGGTGGGGGGTGCTGGGTTGTGGCTTAGCAGTAGAGTGCTCGCCTAGCATGTGCAAGGCCCTGGGTTCAATCCTCAGCACCACATTAAACAAACAAATAAATAAATAAATAAAGGTATTATGTCCAACTACAACTAAAAAATAATTTTAATTTTTTAATTCTTATTAGTTATATATGACAGCAGAATGCAATTCAATTCATAGTACACAAATAGAGCACAATTTTTCATGTCTCTGGTTGAACACAAAGTAGAGTCACACCATTTGTGTTTTCATACATGTACTTAGGGTAATGATGTCCATCTCATTCCACTGTCTTTCCTACCCCCTTGTACCCCTTCTCCTCCCCCTCCTTTGCCCTATTTAAAGCTCATCTGTTCCTCTCATGCTCCCACCCATCCCCATTATGAATCAGCATCCTTGGAAAAGACATTCGGCATTTGTTTTTTTTGGGATTGGCTAACTTCACTTAGCATTATATTCTCCAACTCCATGCATTTACCTCAAATGCCATGACTTTATTCGCTTTTTTAAACTTTATTTTTATTTATTTATATGTGGTGCTGAGGATCAAACTCGGGTCTTCTACATGCGAGGTGAGCACTCTACTGCTGAGTTATAACGAACGCCAGTCCCTTTATTCGCTTTTAATGCTGAGTAATATTCCATTGTGTATATATATCACATTTTCTTTATCCATTCATCTACTGAAGGGCATCTAGGTTGGATCCACAATTTAGCTATTGTGAATTGTGCTGCTATAAACGTTGATGTGGCTGTGTCCCTATAGTATGCTGTTTTTAAGTCCTTTGGGTATAAACCGATGAGTGAGACAGCTGGGTCAAATGGTGGCTCCTTTCCCAGTTTTCCAAGGAATTTCCATACTGCTTTCCAGAATGGTTACATCAATTTTCAGTCCCACCAGCAATGTGGTATTATGTCCAACTACAATTAAAAAAATAAATATTTAAAAAAGTGCTAGGGATGTGACTCAGTGATGAGGTCCCTCTGAGCTCAATTCCAAGTACTAAAAAATAAATAAATAAATGAATAACAAATAAATAAATAAAAAGGACTGGGGATATAACTCAGTCCTGGAATTCCTGGAATGAATTCCCATCATCCCACATACAAAAAAAAAATTTGAAAGAGATGTACGGTTTCATGAACAAAATAAGTAGAATATGTTAAATTATATACAGATGAAAGGCATCTAATTAAACAAAAAACAGCATTAGGAATTTTTAGAATGGGAACATTATTACACATACAGGAAAGATTTTAAAGAAATAAGAATACATCTAAGTTTTTCAGCTAAAAGTATATTTGCTACAAGCACTTCTTAGCCTTCTCTCTCCTGAGACATAAAAACACTACACTTAAAATAATATTTTTTTTAAAAAGCATATACCCACCAGAATGAAGAGAATGGGAAGAATGTTTTATTCATGTTAAAACCTTAGCAAACTAAAAACAGGGAAGAATTTTTGTAGTCTAACAAAGGACTTCTACATAAACCCTACAGCAGATATCACAGTTAATGGCAAATGAGCAAGGCTCTCCTTAGATCAAGAGCAAGAAAAGTGTATCTATTACCACTATTCTCATTGCTACTTGGGATTGACTGAGAGGTACCAGCCAGTACAATAATGAAAGAAAAAAAATATTCAGTGGAATAGGTAAAGGGGAATGAAGGAAACGGAGGGGGGATGGGAAAAAGAAAGGCATGGGAATGAATTTGATGTAACTTTCCTATGAACATATATGAATATTACACAGTGAATATCACCATCATGTACATCCACAAGAAATTAATTTTAAAAAACTATGAAAAATATAAAGTGTAAAGGATAGAAAAAATAAAAGGGTCATAATTTGCAGATGATGTTTTTATGAATGTAAAAAGATCTAAAGTCTCTTCAGATGACCTATTAGAATTTATAAGTAAATTTAGCAAATTATTAGATAAAATGTCAATACATGAAACTATATGTACAACTGTATTTATATATATCAGGGACTCTAGAAAATGAAACTTTAGAATAATGCTACTTAATATAGCATCAAGAAATGTAATAAGTCAAAAACTAAGGGTCAAGCTTAAAATACGTGTAACACTTCTGTAGAGAAAATTACAAATGCTAGTAAATAATGTAAATGCAAAGACCTAAATAAGATAGTGAAGTACTGGCACAGGAAAGACAAGGAAATAAGCAGAACAAATTTAAAAAAAAATTATAAACAGATCCTCACAAAGATTGTCAGTTGATTAACCACAAAGACCAGAATTCAGTGGGGGAAAGACAGTATTTTGAAATATATATCCACCTGGAAAAAATAATCTTGGTATCTTCTTCACATTATAAAAATTAAAGACTGTTAGATTAACAAGCCAAAGATGGTCCTGTATTTTTTAATATGTATTTTTTTAGTTATAGGTGGATATAATACCTTTACCTTATTTTTATGTGGTGCTAAGGATCAAACCCAGTGCCTCACGTGTGTCAGGCAAGCATTTACCACTGAGCCCCAGCCCCAGCCTTGGTCCTGTATTTTAATGGCAGGCTGGAACAAGTAACTCAAAATCTGCTTGCCAAACTTAGCCTTTACACTTGCAACTGTTTAAAGATAGCCAAATACTAGTTTTAGCCATTTAGAGCTTGTCTGTTTTGCATACCCTGCAAAACTGTGCCCAACATCTGCCATCCACAGAAAGAAACACAAACCCTTGGGGCTACATAAGACCCCAAAATGCTGACACAGATTTGTCATCTTGCTGCTGAGCAACTGATCACCTAGACTTGTAACCCCTTCTCTAACCCCCCTCTCCTCTGCAGTTTCCATTCCCTCCTTTACTTCCTGGGTAGTGGCCCCATGCCATTGTCTCATGAGGCACAGCTGTGAGGGCTTGCCCTCTCATGCAACCTGTCCTAGCACTGACAAAATGACAGCTTTCACACTAACATCATGTTTTCAAGTCTTTTCTTTGAGCAATTTGAAATCCTCAAACACACTACACACAATTCTTGCTAAGACAGTATCCCATCAAGGAAGGGGATTTGGTGATGATCAAGGAAGTAGAATGGGGTCTACCCAGTCAGTAGGACAATCAATTGGCTAACTGATCCTGGAAGGCTTCATGTAGTAGGACTCAGAATATGAAATCCCACCTCGATAGCCAGACCTGGCATTACACTCTATTTTTTGTGGTCTCCCTCCCTCTGTGCCTTATAAACCTGACCAAGTGGTACTACCAGTACTTGAGTGAATCCAACTTGCTAGCACTAACTTCTGGGGGTCAGAGGTACCTAGCTGCCCAAGGAAGGAAGTGAATCAACCACTGGGGTCCCCACTATGCAGGTGCTGGACACTGTGAGACCTGTGGGCCTGAACACAAAATGAGGAGCCACACATGCCTCTGGACCAGGGGTGAGCTACACTGACCCCAAACAGACTATAGTGGGAGGAACTTCAGTAGGTCACTGACTTGGGGGACTCTGAGAGGACAGGATATCCTTATCCTAGGGACCACTATGGCAGGTAAACAAGATGAAAAGAGAGGCATTGGGCCGAGACCAGATTCCGCCACACATTGAGGGGAGCTGCCTTTACGAGTAGCTAATATGCCACATCAAAAGTGACATTCATTTATACTGTTGTGGATAATCACTGTTGTAGCTCTTTCCCGGGGGGATGTGAAGAGTCCAAAAACCTTGGGTTGACAATGTAACAATGGTCCACTTCATGCTTTGAATAAAGCCTTTGCTACTCTAAATCAGACATTTTTTTTCCTCTTCTAGCTAATCTTCCCCTCAGTGATCTATTCCTTCTAATCACCCCCTCCCTTATCTCAGAGGAAACAGGATGCCTTTGGATTACCTCTTCCCTGTTCCCCCTGATGGGCAGAACCACAGCCTTTGGATAGGAGTCTCCTGTGTTTCTCCTTTATAGGCAAAACAAAAATTTCTTATTCCTTTTTTTTTTTTTTTCAAAACCATGTTCTCATTATTGGATTGGCTTTGAGGACAAGGACTGAGGATTTGGTAACTAATGGGACCCAAAGCAGCTCCTGCTCTGGCTTTCCTGGATAGCCCTGTCACTCCAAGCAAACCCATTTCCATGCTGAGGATGCAAAGTAGGTGGCGAGCTTATTGAGAGTCAACTGCTATAGAGTTAGGAGATAAGTGAGTTTGCCTCTGGTTGACCTAAAAAAAGCTGTTCCTGTGAGTAAAGAAAGGGACTGAGGGACTGTCTCAGCAGCTGCCAAAGCTCCTTTTGCTTTGGGAAACTCTCACCTTCTCTCTCTGAACTATATAGGTTGCTATATCACTCAGTCTACTTTAAGAAAAAGGAAACTGAATACAGTAAATTTGTGAAACCCTTGGCCATCTGGTAAGTCCCCCAGTGTGCACATTAAGATCCTTGATTCCACACATCTGGTTCTCCTTTGTAGGGACACCTGTGGCAACAATGGTGTAGGAGTCACAGTTAAGTGGGACTTAATTCCTTCCGGTCTGTTTTAGGTTCTCATCTTTTTGTTGGCCTTGGGCTTGGGAATTCCCTCTGGTTGTCTGTCCCTCTGTGTGTTTTTTGATTGTATCTGTTACTGGTCCTTTAAAACCTGGGAAATACAACATTGATCCTATAGGTAGTCTCTTGGGAAAGAACTTGGTTGGCCGGGCCATCTGTCGGTAAAAGCCTGTCTAAGAAATTAATGATGTTTGACTGTAACAATCTGGCCTTTTAATGGATTCCTGAATTATTATAAAATCTTGCAGCTGGAGTTGATTTGTCAGAGGTTAATAAATGGAAGAAGGTCTGTAGGTGTAGGCATTTTGCAGTTGCATGATAAGGAGTTGACCAGCTAGAAACTAATTTGAGGATGTAAAAAGGCACTGAATCTGGTATACAAGCACAGAAGGACACTAGAAGAAAGGGCTAAAAAGATTTAAATCCTTTCAACCCAGTGCTGGCACTCTCAGTACTGTTTTTCAGACTGACTCCAGGCAGCTGCAGATCATCTCCCTGTGGGTCAAGGACACCAGCCCTAGGCTGGAAAAAATGTCAGGAAAACTGCCAGGACTGTAGAAAAATGGCCAAAGAGAACCTGGCCTCTGCCTTGCCTTCCAGCCCGCTTTGCCCATGGTAGGTGGAAGCTGGTGGCCATAAAGGACTTGGCAGTAGGTTCTAGCCCTTTAATTTATGACCCAGGGACAGGAATAGTCTCCTCTTTTAAGACGTAACAGGACACCGTATTTGACTAGGGAATATCTATCACTGGGGCAGAGCAATTCTTGCTA